CAAGAGAATTACATAGCAGGGGGTTAAGACTCTCCAGGAGCCAAAACAGCGGTGTCCTGGTCAAGCCTCTTTTATTTTTGCAATTTGATGATAGCAAGTACATAAAACATAGTATTTGGCATCGTGACAGGTAATGCACCTGCAGTGCATTCCATGCTGGGTCATGAGTACATCTGGCGCCAGATAAAACATTCTTATCCCTGGCCTGGTGCCCATATGATGTCCTTCTGGAGAGAACATGCAGTCCCTGTGGCTTTCCGCCTGGGAACAGAACTGCTTTCAGTTCCTTGCTGCTCTGTTTCCTTCAGTTCATTCTTATGGTACGTCCACCTTCTTGTTCTCCAACAGCTCCCCCTTTTTGTTTGTATACAATGGACTGTAGCTTGTATAACCCAAGCTGTTGGTCAGCACCTTGATAGGTTCATTGTCCCTGGAGCCAGACTGCACATGCAGGGATAAATACACCACATATTAATACAAATAGAATAGCAGTAGAGAAACTAAAAATCTTTAATATGTTCTATAGGGCTTAATTTTCCCAATCTGTCTGATATACTTTCTAAGATCTTAGAACCAGATAACATGTCCAGATTTGCTTTGTTTTGTTTTGTTTTGTTTTAAATTTTTTAATGTTTATTTTTATTTTTGAGAGAGCAGAGACAGAATGCGAGTGGGTTAGGGGCAGAGAGAGAGGGAGACACAGAATCTGAAGCAGGCTCCAGGCTCTGAGTCGTCAGTACAGAGCCTGACGCAGGGCTCAAACTCACGAGCTGTGAGATCATGACCTGAGCTGAAGTTGGACACTCAACCGACTGAGCCCCTGGATGCCCCATCCAGATTTGTTTTGAAAGTCTCATATGTCTCTGCTTGCAGATGCTGAATGTCCATGGACACATTAGATTGCCCGAGCAAGTGTCTCTTAACATCGTTCCACAGAAATTTAGTGTTATTAAATGGTAACAGGGTTAAACATATTGATGTAGTGTTCCGATCACATTTTAATGATATTTGTAGGCTCACTAATTGATCCCCCAGAAATATCACAGCCTGTTGTAGGTCTGCAATCCCATTGGACAGTCTACTGTCAGTATCCCGCTGTGTTTTCCAATGCTGGTGCGATTTTTCATGCTATTGTTGCACAAATTGTACTGTCTGCACAGATGGGTGCAGTGAGACAGCTGCAGTAGTGGCAGCAGTCACAGCAATAGCTACAACAAGCATTCCAACAAACTGTCAGGATAGATGAACTCACCATGGAGCCTGGTCCATCAGATATATTTCTGGAGAATGTTGCCATGGTTGAGACATGTGAACCAGCAGCCACAGGCCATTGTGTGCTTTAAGTGAATATAAGCTTCCGGATCACATATTAAAGGGTATAGAAGGTTAAGACAGGTGTATAATGAACAGTTAACACAAGTTATAATGGCCTCAGAATCATTCCAAACTGTCCTTTCAATAGTACATATGGCAAACGGACACAAGCCCGTATGTAGCAGGTACTACTAACCGTGAAGGATAAAGTAGAAATATTGGTGGAGCTGTTTTTATAATATGTGCCCTTCTTGGTATGTAAAGAGTGGAGGGCAGCAGTTAATTTCCATATATGCTTCTGTAACGGTCCTTGTTGTAAATGAGGACTGGGCACAGAAAATCCCCCACCGTGCCAAACAATTGAGCCATTGGCAGTGGTGCTGATAGTTTCATTATGAACACACCATCATAGATTTTGTAATGAATTTTGTAATGAATAATTTTTTGTAATGAATATTAAGCCCATAGGGCTCTAATCAGTGACACTTCCATAGGAGATACTTAAAATAACTCACCCTATCTCTCCTCTACATGTTTCCCAAGTCACCCATCCATCCCATGTTGACAACATACGAGTAGCACAAGATGGAAACATTGGAGGAATGTCATTAATTGTAAGATTGGAGCCAATCAGAGAATGGGTTGATAGTAAGAGGTATGTTTGTGCTGGGTTCCTTTTTAAATAATAGGTAGCCATGCTTGAGGCTTACTCTTAAGGCAGTGTTTCCCATAACCGAAACATGGAGAAGGACCTTCGATCTCGATATATAACTATCCATAACAGTATCTTCTTCATTTAGCCTATGTGGTCCTCTGCTGTCAAATGGCCCAAGTGTCTATTCAGTGTTGTTTGTATATACCGGCACAGGGGAGTCATACCAATTTACCTGATTGAGAGGTGGATGAGGGATATAGTCCCAGTAAGTATAGTTGTCAGCACTTACCATAGCAGTGATAACCACTAGCATTGCAAGGAAAAGGTGAGAGGAGTTTGCAGACTGTGAGTCTGCATCAATATTTTTTTCAGCATCATGCATCAACCTCTTAACTTGTCCCCAAGTAGGAGGTTGAGTGGTCCTAGTGTGCCTCAGGAGACAGCGTGGGGCATTGGGCACAATTATTGGTTTCCCCATGGACATTCTATGAAACTCTTTGACTGGTGGGATCATGTCGAACCGAGGTTGCTTGGATGGGCTTGTGTCTGGGTTTCAACCAGTGATTGGGTAACTACTGGTAGCCTTGATCTATAGAAACATAAGCATACCCTTTGCCCCACACAATAACCTCTCCCTTTTCCAAGTGTCCCTTCTCATCTTTCCAATCTATTGGTTGATGAACAGGGCTGACTTTTGCTTGTGCCAGTGTACCTCAGCAGCAGGGCATGTATGGGGTCCTCATATGTCCAAGAAATTTAAACTGTATAAGGCCCAATGTAATGGTTCCCATGGCATAGGTCTAAGTCCTTCTTCTCCCCCTTTTTGTTTAATTAACATGTTTTTAAGTACCTGATGAGTGTGTTCTATGATCCCTTGACCTTGAGGGTTATAGGGAATGCCAGTAAGATGAGTAATTTGTCAGGCTGTACAGAAGTGGGCTACCTTATGAGATACATATGCAGGGCCATTATAAGTTTTAACATGTTGTGGGATACCTAGAATTGCAAAGGTTTCAAGAAAACGAGCAGTAATGTGCATTGCCTTTTCTCCCATACATGCTGTGGCCCAGCTATATCCAGAGAAGGTATCCACAGTAACATGCACATAAGAGAGCTTACCAAAAGCAGGAATATGGGTAACATCAGACTGCCAAAGTTCATTTGCCCGTAGCCCACGAGGATTCACTCCAGAGGTGTATGGAGCCACAGTGAGGGGTTTGCAGAAAGGACAGGCACTAACAATGTCTTTTGACTGAGCATGTGTTACAGTGAGTCTGTGGGCAAGCCCTCGAACATAGTAGGGTGAAGTATATATTCTTGTTGTGCCATTTGTAAGGTGCCTTGTAATGAGTCATCAGCAATGGAATTTCCTTAGGCTAATGGGCCAGTAACGTTAGAATGACTGCGAATGAATGATATATAAAGGGTGTGGCCTATGCCATATTAAGTCTTGTAAATGCAAAAACAGATGATGTAATTCATTTTGTGGAACAATATGTGCAGTTTCAATATTTAGGACTGTGAACCATACATATAGTGAGTCTGTCACAACATTGAGGGAGGCAGGTACAAGATGCAGCAATCTATAATGACTGCTAATTCAATTTTTTGAGTACATGTATAGGGTGTCTGCCAGGACTTAGAAATAAGACCATGTATAGAAGCTCTACCATGACCATTTCCATCTGTAAAGTATGTGTCAGCATCTGCTAAAGGCCAGTCTCAAATTATCTTTGGCCCAATCCATGATATAACCTTGAAAACTGACAAAATTTTGTCCCTATGTAATTGGATAAAGCTATTTGCCCTTGTATATTAGTTTGGTAAGCCATATCAATTTGTTGATATGATAAGGAAATAATTATAGAGGAGGGATTATCACCATTAAGCACACGTAATCAGGATCAGCCTCTCCAAATTATATTCCTAATTTTATCCAGATACATGGTAAAAATTTTAGTGTGCTTATTTGGTAAAAACAGCCATTCGATGATTCCCACCTCCCATCCTGCCATAAGACCTCTTTTGGAGAATGTGGAGTAGGAAAAATCAATAATTGGACAGGAACATTAAGTCATATACGAGTGAGCTGACAATTTTGAATATGATTTTAATCCATTGTAATTGAGCTTCTGCTTCTTTTGTGAGGATCCAAGGGCTGTTAAGGTTGGGGTCACCAGCTAATGTTTAGAAAAGATGAGAGAAAGGTATAAGTCAGGATTCCCAAAGCCGGTCGCAACCAATTTATATCTCCTGGTAACTTTTGGAAATTACTTAGTTTTCAAATTATCTTGGCGAATCTGTACTCTTTGGGGAATGATGGTTGCCTTTTGAATTTTTGCACCAAGATAAAGGAAGGGATTGGGTTTGCATCTTTTCCTCTGCTATTATTAGGCTGTATTTGGGTAACAATAATCTAGTCGTTTGATAAAGATCTACCTGTGTAGGCGTTTCTGTGGCAAAAAGAGTATCGTCCATGTAATAGTCAACACTTGCGGGAACTGAATATGTAATTGTGAAAGCTGATTAAGAAAATGCTGAGACACAGTAGGGCTATTAAGCATACCTTGCATAAGCACTTTCCATTGATAGTGTTGCACAGGAGCCACATGACTGTATGAAGGTGCAGAAAAGGCACATTTTTCTCTATCATCTGGCTGTAGTAGAATTGTGAAAAAAAATAATCTTTCAAATCTACTATAATTAATGACCAGTTCCGGGGAATCATAGTAGGGGATGGGAGCCCGGGTTGCAAAGGTCCCATAGGTTGTACAACCTCTTTTACCTTTATTAAGTCAGTTAACATTCTCCATTTCCCAGATTTTTTTCTTTATCACAAACACAGGAGAATTCCATGGACTAGTGGACATTTCTATATGACCTGCATCCGATTGTTCTTGCACTAATTGTTCTGAAGCTTCTAATTTCTCTTTCAGAAGGGGCCACTGTTCCACCCACACTGGGGCAGTTGTTAACCATTTTAATGGTAAGGCATAACATTGTTCAGGAACAGTGGCTCTTACACTAAATTTCAATTCTGTACAGGATATCCCAGTCCCTTATAAGGAGGCCGCATTTCAGCAGTAATTGGCTCCATATGCCCATTTTCTTGTCCAAGCCCTTTTAATGGGTTATAATTCATTTTGGACATGGTATTGGTTGCAGCAGGAGAAACATAAGGAAAATTCGTATATGCTCCCCATTGACTTAATAGGTCTCTTTCCCACAGATTAATGGCTATATCAGTAACATAAGGCTGGATAGTAGCAGCGTGGCCTTCAGGCCCTTTACATAGAAAAATTTCAATGCTTTGTTGGATGTCAGTAGCTTTTCCTGCACTGGTAAAGACTGAAGATACAGGTGAAAGTGGCCAACTCTTAGGCCAAAACTTAGAAGAAATGATGGTTATATCAGCTCCTGAGTCTACCAGGGCAGTAAATGATTTTCCGTTAATTTGTAAGGTCATCTCAGGTCTTCTGTCCTTTAGAAATGTTTGCCAAAATAACTGTTTGTGGGTAGATACAAACCCTCCCTGCCATTCTATCAGCGTGGAATTTAAAGCAATGTAAGGCAACAACAATGGTTGAGCAATGTGATCTCCTGTCATGATACAATAAGGAACAGAAGTACTAATCATTACTGAAATTTCATCCTTAAAACCAGCATCTATGATTCCTAAGTGGACATGAACTCCCTTGGACATAAGACTACTTTATCCAATAAAAAGGCCAATGGACCCTGAAGGAAGAGGGCCATAAATCCCAGTTGTAATCTTATAAATTCCCATGGAGGTTTCGAGGACCAGAAAATCTGGGGCAGGGATATCTAATGTAGAGCTCCCTCCTGTGGCATGGAGGAGGTTATGGACAGATTTGCATAAGTCCTATCACTCACAGGATAACAACATGGAATGTGATTCCCCATATTGTTTACATTTGGGCCCCTGAGGGTGGGGGCATAATCCCATTTCTGACCTAAGCTGCAGGGGTGCTCCATTCTTACGGAATTTAGATCTACATTGATTTGCAAAATGATAGCCTTGATTGCATTGGGGGCATAACCCAGGAGGTTTAGTATTTCCTTTGGGCAGCCAAGGATCACAGGGAATTGTTAAGACTTGGCTGTGGCTATCGACAATCCCTTTTATGATGTCCCGATTTGCCACAGTGAAAACACTTGGACTGTTTGTAAGGCCCAGTGCCTTGAACAGCCGCTGCCAGTAGCCCCATTTTATAGACCTCTGAGCCTATATCTTGACAGGAGGCCTTTAAATAATCAGTTAAATCACTCCTAGAGCCTTCACTGGGCTTAAAGCTTGTTGGCATTCCTTATTAGCATTATCAAAAGCCAGCAGCTGTAAAAGGAGATCAGGTAAGCCCTGGTTTTTATAATAACATCCTTTAGTCCAGGGATGTAGGGCTCATTGGGACTCCGTTTAACTTGAACAAAAGAGGGTGTAGCCTGTCCCGGGGTAGCTGTTTTCTCCCAGACATTAAGGCAGCACAATCTAACTTGTGTCACTGCCTGATCATCATACTGCAGCTGAATCTGTATGCCAAACCCTTGTCCGGCCCGGTAGGTTGTTCTCTGGTAATGGGCACAGGAGCATTTGCAGCAGCATCACACCAGGCCTGTATCTGTCTCTGTATCATCCCACCAAGTTCTAAACTGCAAAAATTCAGAAGCGCTTAGCACAGTGCAACCTAGGACCTCCCAGTCCCACGGAATGAGTCATTCTGAATTGGCTAAACCAGACAACAATCCTAGAGTATAGGTGGAATTAACACCTTATTTTGTGCAAGCCAGTTTCAAATCCTTAGTTACCTTAAAACTCAAAGGAACGTGATCAAATCATTGCCCTCCTGAGGATATTGCTGATTAGGAGGAATTTGGGGAATGTTGACAGGATAAACTGCAAGTATACTAGCCATTAATTCAGTGTCCCCATGACCTTAGCTTGTTGAAGCATCTGTATCATGGGAGAAACAGGAACTGTGATGCTCTAAGAGGAGGCACCAAGAACTGGGCTTCTTCAATAAGTGGAACATTTAGTTTTTTCCTAAAAAGATTGACCGGCTCAGGGCTCTGGGGCAGTGCAGGAGGCAGGGGTGCTGAAGCTTGAGCTGAGACTATCTCTGGGCCATTAATCCAGATCCGGTAGGTTTCTGTCCCTCAGGTGGTGGGGCTAGGGACTTGGCTCCCAGTCCTCATTATCCACAAGCCAGTGAGGGGTTTCGAGGCCCAATGCCCCCTTCTTCCCCCATTCTGACTGAAGGGTTACATAGCCAGGGAAATTAAATTACATACAGACCATACAGAGAGAGGGATGGCTTGCTTCTCCTTGTTGATGAGCCGGGTGCAAAACACTTAAAACCAAATACCATTGTTTCTGATTCAAAGCATTTTTGCGGAGGGTATAAACCAATAACAATGTTTTTGTTTTTACTAAGTAAAACAAATCCTCAAATGTAGGACATTTCACTTTTACCTCTGAGCTCTTTAATAAAGTCTGCAGGAGCTGAATATCTGAGTCATAACTAGATGAGGTGGCGCAGAAATCCCAAAGGATGAGCTTCCTGGCTCCAAAGCTCCCTTCGGTTCCCTCGGCACTTCTTCAGCAGTACTGCACAAGTCCACCTTCAGGTCCCTGTTCGAGTGCCTCTGTAGAGAGAGAGGTCCTAAATGTGCTGTGAGGAGAGAATTGCAAAGCAGGGGGCTGCGACTCTCCAGGAGCTGAAGCATCGGTCCCCTGGCTCAAGCCTCTTTTATTTTTGCAATTTGATGACAGCAAGCACATACAACATAGTATGTAGCATCTTGACAGGTCGTGCACCTGCAGGGTATTCCATACTGGGTCATGCGTACATCTGGTGCCAGATAAAACATTCTTATCCCGAGGCCTGGTGCCGGTATGGTGTCCTTCTGGAGAGAACAAGCAGTCCTGGCAGCCTTATGTTCTGGGAATGAAACTGCTTTCAGTTTCTTGCTCCTCCATCCCTTTCCTTCAGGACATTCTTACGGGGCCTCTGGCTTCTTGTCCTCCAACAATTATCAATTTCATTTAGCTCTTTGGCTGTAGTTTTTCTTTCGTGTTCTTTGATTTGGGACATATTCTTTTGTCTCACTTTGTCAACTCTTTGTGTCTGTTTCTATGTATTAGAAAAGTCAGCTATGTTCTTGCAAGTAGGTGCCTTATAAAGAAGAGGTCCTATACTAGTCCCCTTTTCATCAGAACCCGGCACTTCATGGGTGTCTTCTGTGTATGGTGTATATATCCTACTGTTGTGGTTGAGCCAAATTTGCCTTCATTCTAGTCACCGGCAATGGCTCTCTTTGCCATTGTAGGTAGTGTTTGATTCCTGTGTTGTTAATGGGCTAGTTGGGGCCACCTTGGGTGAGTTGGGTCTGACAAGGCATTTGCCACAGCTTCAGTCACACATAACTGGAAAGATCTCTCCCTGAGAGGGTTTTGTTGGTGGGCAGGCTGGCAGTCAGACCTTGTGGGGGGATTCAGTGGAGCTGGTGTGTGTGGTTATCTTCCATTGTCCGTAGAGCAGGAGTTACTTTTTAGTGTTGCTGGCCCCTGTCAGGGCTGTGAGGTATTAGCAAGGTTTGTGCTGATGGCCTAGAACTGCTTTGGAGAACAATCGTGAGAGAGGGTTGAAAGGGGTGGATTTGCAGGAATAGAGGTTTGGGATGTGGTTAGCAAGCTTGGTGGACCCTGTGAGTGCTGATTCCTGCAGTTATCAGTGTATCTAGGCTGGACACTGGGTCGGGGGTGGGGGTTGGTGCCCACCATTTCTTTTGTTCTTGGAGATATCTCCTAAAGCTCCCTGTACCTCCACACATTCTGAGATTAGTAAATAAATCTCCTGACTGAAAACCCATGTAGTTCTCAAACTGTTTCTTCTTTGTTGTATCTCAGTGGGTTGTTACACTAAGGGGTCCATCTCAGTTCCCTAGCCCATCTGGCTCTCCCAGAGCCAAGCGTGTTGATTTTTAAAGTTCTAGGTTTCAATTGCCACTGATTATAAAAACATGTGAAATTAAGCTCCGCTGGTTTTCAAAGCCAGATGTGGGAATGTGTGCATTGCAGGTCTCCTGTGCTTGAAGTGCCCACCATGGGCTCTGTTCCTCTCCTTTCTGTGTGCTTATGGCGTCCCTCTTTTCCATGGACAGTCCTGGGGGGTCATTTTGGTTCCAACTGCTTTTCTGCCCTTTTTACCATTTTTGATTTGGCCTCTTCTCCAAGATTAGCTATGGAAAGTCTGTTCTGCATGGCTTCGGGTCATTTTCTGGGTTATTTACACTGATGTACGTGTTACCTTGGTGTATCCCTGGGACAAGGTGAGCTTAGGATCCTCCTACTTAGCCACTGTCTCAAAAGTTCTTACCTGTCATTAGTTCTGATATTTTTGCAAAGATCTTATATTAATAAGAATAAAGCAAAGAAAATCAAGTAAATGACATTCAGGCATTCACAAAAATCAGAATGCAGCTGGCCAAAAAATGAAGTAGTTGATGTTTAATATTACTAAAACTTATGAAAATACACATTAAAAGTTTTAAAATAAACTAACACATAATCTGGTAGAAACTTAAAATACTCTGGTAGGTGTGGAATAAAAGAACCCTTATTTGTCCTTGGAATGTGCAAATTACTGTTACTATTTTGGAAAGTAAATGGTAGTCATTAAAGCATATAACATTTATCCCTCAATCATAATTTGAGGATCTTTCCTCCATAATTAACATTGTTAGTATGTAAAGACATAATTTTTTGATGTCCTTTAAATCAAATAAATTATTTTTAAATTAATGTACATTTATCAAAGTTATATTAACTTTAAAAATATTTTCCCTTAGGGAAAAATTTAGTCTCTTTTTATGAGAATTTCACCAAAGAGAATTTATTTATGCGATAATGATTCTGGGAAGAACATAAATGACACTAAAATATACCAGTGCTCACAGGTCCTTAAACTAAAACCCTAAAAGATTTTTAGGGTTGAATATGTTGGAAATGAAAATATATTAATATTTATTAAAGCAGTTAAGTCCTGACAGTTCTCACATAAGTTATCTATTTATTTTAAAGATAAGAAAATAATGCTGAAAGCCCTAAATACAACTCCACTTAAAATTTTGAGTGGAAATGACTGTCTATTTATAAAATGTATACAGGAGATATTTATAGTTTTCATATGATTTTGTTACATCAAAAATGTTGCCATCAATTTTAAAAATTGGCCTTTATGGTTTGTATAAAATATTATGATAAAAAATTTTAAACACAGGGTAACAATCAGGGTAACATGTATATGATAAAAAAGATTTATATAGATAGGAGTAAATATAAAAAAATGAGAAATCATAGAACAGCTACGGTAGACATTAGTCAGAAAAATTATTATTGAAACATGGGCATAATCAAACTTGAACTGTGTATTTTCGCCATAGTCCCTG